AGAAGCATTTCCTGGAAGAAGATGAATATAGAAGTTGAAAGAAAAAGGACTGGGGGGATGGGGAGGGGCAGACAACAATGAATTACCCTTACAAAATACTTGTTAAATCTTACGTACTTCTTTAGTGCATAGTAGGGACGTAATAAATGCTACTTGAATTTGAAACTGAGGATTCCTTGGCAAAATTGAGTTTGGTTTTTACTGTAGTTGTGGCTGTGTTTACTGCAAGATCTTTGCTTTATACTTTACATCAAGTAAGATATTTTTCATACTAATGTAAAACTCTGTTGTATTCCTCAGTGGGTCTTGATTGTTGCTTACGAACTTGTTGCATTCTTACTTGATATTAGGTGACAAAGGTTAAGTTAAAAGTTAATAACCTAAGCAAAAGCATAAAAGCTCTATATACTCTTTGTTTTTAAAATTAAGCAAGTATTTTCTTGGTGGAGTGGGCAACAAACAATTTTGTTTACACGTGATAGAGCACACCTAAAATTAACTTTGAAGTTTATTAGAACTTTATTAGATCTTTATTGCTTTTAAGTTTGGGGTGGGTTTTTTTTTTAGTGTTGTTTTTATATTTTTTTTAGAACTTTTTTGAGAAGTTCTATGAATGTGCATCTTTCTGGGCACAAGGAGCGTCTGGAACAGAGATTTGGTGCTACCAGGACCTCTTGATTGATCTTTACTTGTGGTTAAATCCCACTGATTTCTTCAGGGACTCTTGAGTTTTTGTTTTTGTTTTTTACACATCCACTAATTTAGTTTAAGTTCTAATTATACTACACATGAATGATAGCAGGGGATTCCATCCTACCTCTGTCTCTAAATCTTTTCCTGCCAAAGTCCATCTTGAACATTTTGTAATGTGTGTAATTTTCCTTAAGCCCTTCCAGTGCCAGTAACTGCTCAGCAGTTACTCTCAAATGGAGTCAAAAGTAGAGTATAACACTTCCTACTAGAAAACTTATCTACTAGAGAAAGTAGGTAAAAATACCAGGTCCAGCCTTTTTTAGTTTCTACAGATACCTTCTGCTCTAATCAGAGTAACCCAGCTATTCATTTTTGTTTCTATACTTGTGCAGTAGTCACTTGCTCTTGACTTGGGTGACTTTTCTTTATCTGCCAGTTCTGTTACTATTTCTTGCCGTTCAGTCAGATCTCCTCCATATGTACTGTGATCAGCCACTTGACTCTCCTCTGTTCTCTGCTTAGCCAATATTAGAAGTGTTGTTAAATTTTTCTTTTGAGAAATGAATTGTTATAAAGTGAGTAACGTTTCTTTTTTCTTTTTTTTTTTTTTGAAAGAGAACTTTTTATTACTTTCATGTACAGAAAACTCAAAATTTAGCTGGTTTGATGTCCAATTCTTTAGCCTTTGCCTTCTCCAGCTTGGCGGTATAAACCACCAACTTTGCACCCAGGATGTTACCTCCCCAGTGAGGGCGGATATCATCATATTCATCACTGTAATTGGTCCTGATAGCTGTCAGTGGCTTAGCCAGAGCTCATTGGTCTTCTGAGTTAATCTGTGTGAAGGCGACAGTGGTGCGGGTCTTCTTGTGGACCCGATGGCTCAGCTTGGCCTTCACCTTAATAATACAGTAGGGAACCCTCATCTTACAACACAGGGCAGGGAGGAAGATAGCCAGCTCAGTGGGATCCACAGCATGTGCAGTTACTACCAGCTGAGCCTTCTTGTTTTACACAAAGGTGGTGAGAATACTAACTCCTGCTGGAGGGACAGGTGACCTCTTAATAGGGACATCCCCTTTGCCAGCAGCTTTCTTCTCAGCCTGGGCCAACAATCTCTGCTTTTTTGTGTGTTTGGTGAGTATTTGTGAGCCAGCTTAACAGTTGAATAGCTGTTTGGTGGTCCAAAGCCTGGGTCCACTGGTTAATCCCAGGAGGCAGTTTCAGACTTATGGAAAATAAGCTCTATCCTGCTGCAGTTAGATGTCGCTGCGGGCCATTTCACAAAGCAGGTGGGGTCCCTTTTGGGCTGGATATCCTGTCTAATACCAGAAGTCTTGTGCCTTTTCTCAAGTGGGATTGACCACCTTCTTGGCTTCCTGCTTCCTCGTGACAGCAGGAGCTGGGGCCACCTTCTTCCCCTTAGTCGTCTTTCTTTAGCCATCTTGGATGGCTAGAGGAGAGCTAAAGTAAGTCATTCTTCTTAAATACTTACCTAGGAGGGAAAAATATTGACCTAACCATGAATATGAGGCCTTCCATATTCCCAAAAGTGATTTAAAAAAAAAAAAAATCTTTCCATGCAGTTAGTATGTCGCCTATCCTTTTGACACATAACTGAGCTAGGTGTCAGGTGTTAGTGATAAGCTTTATTAAAGATAATGATCAAGCTTTATTACCTCCCAATGAAAAGGAAACTTGCAGGTAACTTACACTGTGAGATACGTGGTTCTCAAGGTAGTCCCATACTAAGAGCATCAGTATGGCCTGGCTTATAGAAAATATGTAGATACTCAGCCCCCACCTCTGCCCTACTATAGTAGAAACTTCGGGGTGGGGGCCAGGACTCTGTTTTGCTAAGCCCTCAAGGTGATTCTATTGCCCTTGAATATGACAGACCAAAGGTAGAGAGCCTGAGGACATTTGATTAATAATATACCTATTCCGCATGATCTTTTGAAATATCATTTAACTCACTTGTAAAAATTAGAGGTAATAGCAACCTATATTAAGGAAGTTTTTTTTTTGTTTTTTAAGATTTTATTTATTTGAGAGAGAGTGAGGGAGAACACGAGAGGAGAGTAAGGGGAAGAGGGAGGAGCCCCCATGGGGCTCCATCCCAGGACTCTGGGATCATGACCTGAGCTGAAGGCAAATGCCCAAGCAACTGAGCCACCCAGGCGCCCCATTAAGGACGTTTTAAAGATGAGATAAATATGAGGTTCTTAGGAATTCTTCAAGTCCATGTAAGTGTTCGTTGCAAACTTATGCTGAAGGTTTTCTTTGGTTTGGTCCTTATTCATATCAGTGACTTCCATGGCTCATGTTCATATCAGCGACCGCCATTGTTAAACCTTCTAATCTGTGTGCAGAGTGAGTTCATGGGAAATACGAGCTGGGATTAGGTCTGGTATCCTAGAAAAGTCTATGTCAGGGCAAGAAGTTTCCTTCTGCTTAGTTTTCTTATTTATAAATAAAGGTAGTAAATACTCCCACTGGTACTTTTAAAGATCTATTGAGATTGCATAATATTCTTACTCTACTTTTGTTGAAGAAAGAGAGAAATTAAGATAGTGGGATCAAAGTACTTGCCACAAATGCCTGGCACATAGAAGACACTTTATGGCGGCTCTTTGTTATCATTGTATATGCAGCCAGCCTTTTCTTCTTCTTTCTCTTATCCCACTTTCATGATCTTAAAGTTCTGTTTTAGTTTTTTAAATCTTGATTTTCTAATTCCAGATTTCTGTCTCCTGTACCAGGTCCTTGGTACATGGACCAGATATCTGCATGGACTAGATTCTTGAACACCTCAAGCACTGTTTGTGTTATTGCACTTTGAGAAACACAATAGGAGATATCAGTTAAGTATGCCAGCTAGTCATTGACCTGGAATGGTAGTACCTTACCCGATATAGTTACCCCTTTCAGGTTGTGGCTGCTGTAAGTCATCAGTCAGGGCTCTCGGAATTGACTTCTCTTTTGGAAACAGATTCACAAACTGACTTATAACTAGAATATCCATTTACAATGTGAAATACAAGTGTTAAACAGCATTTTCTTCCTGCCTCTTTCTATAAGAAAACTTTTTCAAATTATAAATATCAGTTGCTTCTTATACTTGAATTCTGAGTGATGGGAGTTAGCTCTGTGGTCTAAGTGCTTAGTATCATCAGGTTATGTCATCCAATCTCATGTATCCGTCTCTACTAGAACAATGTTTTTAACACATGGGCACCTTACTTCTGTCTCTGAATAATGCTACAAGACTGCTGGAGAAATATAAAACATGTCTTGTCTCATGATTGCCCTTCTTGTATGTTCTAAACTGCCTGTTAAATTTTTCTCAGAGAGAGGTGGTGTAGAGGGTTGTGGAAAGAGGGCATACATGAATGTATGTGTACATTCAGATGATTTGGATTAAATTTTCTTTTTAGAGTCATAATGCTCCCCCGATTTCTCTGATACTTTATCATCACTTGACTACTAATTAGAGTGAATACCTTCTATAGAAAACTTGACTCATTTCATTGCATATGGATATTTCTTCATTTCATCCTCGGAGGGTATATTTTTTATGGAGTTCGGGGTGATCCCTGGCTGAAGCAGTATGATGTACTGATGAGTATGGGCTTTTGGAATAAGACTTGAAATCTGGCTCTGCTACTTGTAACTTGTGTGATCTGGGGAGAGATTGCTTAATCTCTGAGCCTCAGTTTCCTCATCTGTGAGATGGAGGTCATATAATAGTTTTATAAAATACATAGCAAAGATTGCATGTCAGGATTTTATATGTAATTTTAGGTAACCCTAGAAAAGAACGTATGGCTAATAGACTCCAGTGTTAATCGTATGTATCATTACTGTTTTCTTTTAATGTGTTTGGATTGGGTTGTGAATTTCACCTCCTTTTCTGAGTTTGTTAACTTAGTTTCCAGTCTCTTTTCTAATTGTTTTTTTCCCACTCCCGAATTATGTGTGGTGCTCTTAAGTGTGAGCATCTATACATAGTGTTAACTGCCAGTGTACATTTACTGAATTGATTGCACAGAACAGTTCTAAACCAATGTCACTTCTTTATTATGCTTAAAGGTTTTGTTGTTAGCAATGAGAATTGGTTTAGTCTCTTCTAGAAATTCTTGGAAGACTAGGATTTTCCTGGGTTTCAGAATTGTTTCATTCACCTTTTATGATTTGAAAATTCTTGATACAGTTCTAAGAGTATTCTCTATGGAATGAAGTTGTGAATTACAGGAATATGAAATATTCACTTATTCAGAAATTAACTTTTTATTTGGTCTTTTTAGGAAGGAGACATGCCAATTCATGAACTTCTCAGTCTTTATGGTTATGATAGTACTGTTCGACTACCTGAAGAAGATGAGGAGGAAGAAGAAGAGGAAGAAGAAGGTGAAGATGATGAAGATGCTGATAATGATGATAATAGTGGCTGTAGTGGGGAAAATAAAGTAAGGTTATATGCATTTATTAAGATCGTAGTCTTTATTCTTGTTTAAGTAGTAATTTATTAATGTTGGAAGTCCCCTATAATCTACCCTGAAAAGTAATAGTTTCATCTGTGTCATTCCAGATTTCTTTTCAGTGCCTCTTCTAAACAAATTTGTACCAACTTAAAAAAAAAAAAAACACTATTGTTTTAAAAGGCTAATTGGTGGTTCTATATTCAATTTTCTTACTTTGTTTTGAAATAATTTAGATTTCTTGAGAGGTTCAAAGATAACGTAGAGTTCCTATGTACTCTTCAGCCAACTTTCCCTGTTTACATCTCGTGTAATCATGGTGTGTTTATCAAAAATACGAATTGATACTGGTGCTATACTATTTTTTTTTTTAAGATTTTATTTATTTATTTTGTCAGAGAGAGAGAGAGGGAGAGAGAGCAAGCACAGGCAGACAGAATGGCAGGCAGAGGCAGAGGGAGAAGCAGGCTCCCTGCTGAGCAAGGAGCCTGATGTGGGACTCGATCCCAGGACACTGGGATCATGACCTGAGCCGAAGGCAGCTGCTTAACCAACTGAGCCACCCAGGCGTCCCTGGTGCTATACTATTAATTAAACTATAGACAATTCAGATTTCACCAGTTTTTCTACTCGTGTCCTTTTTTCTGTTCCAGGTTACAATCCAGAATACCATGCTGCATTTAGTGTTTTTACTTTAATCTTCTAGTTGTATTTGGAATACTGTAATCTTTCATCTGCAGTAATTTTCCTTACATCTTAAATTTAATTTATTATTCTACAGGAAGAGAATATAAAGGACTCATCAGGTCAAGAGGATGAAACTCAGTCTTCCAATGATGATCCGTCACAATCTGTTGCTTCTCAAGATGCCCAAGAAATAATCCGCCCACGTCGATGTAAATATTTTGATACAAGTAAGCATCATTGGTTGCTGTTGTTTGGATAATTTTTACTATTTAATATATGATGTAAAATGCCATTTGTTTTTCACTCACCTGTTTGAATTCATTCACTCTGAAATCCTCTGAAATCTGAAATTTTGTTCGAGGTTATTCACTTAGCAGTGCTCGAGCCCATTGTCCCTGAGCAGAGTGCAGAGATTGTTATGTCACCGTACTACTTGATTTTGAATGTGTTCTTCTTTTCTTAATCTTTTCTTTTTCTTTCTTTCTTTTTTTTTAACCATATATTCCCATGTTTACTTTGGGGTGGAGACTTGACATCAGAATGAGGCAAAATTGAGTCCCCGATGTCAGGAGGTTATCTTAAGACAAGGAGAAGAGGCTGTAGGTATGCTTTGAGAGCTGGTATAACCTGGATAGGGTCTTAGGCTCATTCTCTCAGGTAAGGAATCCAGGGCCTTGCTTGTACATAGGCTGCAACCATATCAGTTGACCTTGAGTCCAGACTTCTGCAGAGACAGCTACTGTTTGTTAGCAGGGTCTGATAAAGCTGTGGGAAGCTCTGTAAGCAAGGTGTCAGACCAGCATTTCCAAAGGGTTTTATTGGCTCCATAAAATTGATCTGGGTTTTTTAAAGCTGTCTGATGATATCTAAGTCGATGCGTGTGTCTCTTAAGGATGACATTCCAGGGCCACCTGGCTGGCTGTCGGTAAAGAGCATGACTCTTGAACTCGGGGTAGTGAGTTCAAGCCCCATGTTGGGTGCAGAGATTACTTAAATAAAATCTGTGTCCACTAAAACGTCCGTCAATTTGTTCCCCACTGGCAGGCTCCTGGGGGTAAAAAAAATGTGGTGTTTTTTTTTTTGTTTTTTTTTTTTTTTATCCCCAACACTTCCTTAAATTTAATTTGTCTCATAGTTATCTTTATTTTTCCTAGTCATTTCCTTAGTTTTCATTTTCTACTTTCTTTGCCTCTTAGCCTTTTTTAGCTATTTCATAAGCATTGCTTTCTCTAATCATTGGCTCCCAGTTCTCAAGAACCGCTTTCCTCTTGAGGTGAGAGTATGTTATACACAGAAAGAATGCTGTTAAATTTACTATAGTTGTGATCTAGTCAGAGATGTGCAGTAGTTGAAACAACATTTAATGTATGTATCTTGAATATTTGCATGCTTTATCTGCTCCATGGTGTTTCATTCTAAGCAGGAATCATTATTCTGGATGACTGCTCTTTGATAAGAAAAAGGCAACCATTAGTGTTACTGGTTTAAACTTGGGGTCTGAATTTCTGTGGTTTAAAAGAAAAAAACACTTGAAGAACAATAACCTCTCATGAAGTGGAGCAGTGTTGTAACTGATGAACATGGCTATTGCTTCATGTGAATGATTTCTGATACATATTTGCTTTAAAAGTGAATGTAGTACTGCTAATGGTACTTCATTGTGAGTTTTGGTCAAAGATATGGTCCAGTTGAAAAGTCTGTCAGTGTAAGGAGAGATTGGTTACTGAAATTACTATGTTAATACTAAGTTTGGAGAAAGCCTGCTATTTTTCCTTTTTCTTCTTAGGTAAATTACCAAAGTTTGTTTAAAAGTGGGATGCTAAGTGACTACATCTTTTTTTTTTTTTTAAGATTTTATTATTAAAGAGAGAGCATGAGTAAGGTGGGGCGGGAAAGGGAGAAGCAGACTCCCTAGTGAGCGGGGAAGCCTGATACAGTGCTCTATCCCAGGACCCTGAGATCATGACCTGAGCCAGAGGTCTTAGGTCTTAACCGACTGAACCACCCAGGCGCCTCTTTAAGTGACTGAATCTTAAAACAGTAATTATTTCATACTTCTGATCCTCTATTTTAGTTGCGATATATGCAGAGAAGCTATCTTAGCTTTTCCATAGAAAGATTTAATTTTTATATGTAATGTTACCTTTTGAACTTTGTATACCATTTTATACTTGAGAAGATGCTGACAGTTTAATTGTTTTCAGATTTCCTACCCCTTTACATAAAAACATTTTTACTCCAGAATGTAAACAAGTGGCTCTTTGCCTGCTCTGAATAAATCAGAGGGGTTGGGGAGGATGGAAGTCTTCATATGTAGCCTTCCCTTCACCTCCTCTCCAAAGTGTTGCTACAAAGTTCTCAGTGTCTCAAGGAGCACTGATTGGAAACCAATTTTTGTTTTGTCCAAATTCTCCTTTTATTAGGGAAGAAAGAATTATGTTTGGGAACGGATTATTTTGATCTACTAATCAATTTTTTTCTTAAATTTTTGGAAGTAATCATTTACTGAGAATATAGTTTTCTAAGATTAGAATTGTCCCAGAAAGTTTATGGGTTTTTTGTTTTGCTTTGTTTTAAACTGAGAGAGTATTTTTTGATTAGAAATATCTTGGTCCTATTCTGCAAACACTTTTAGGCCTTCTTAAATGTTTGATGGTAGATGTAAAAATAATATACAGATATACAGATGTGGACAGGATAAACATTTTGTATATTGTCTTATTTATTGTTGTAGATAGCGAAATAGAAGAAGAATCTGAAGAAGATGAAGATTATATTCCATCAGAAGACTGGAAAAAGGTAGTTAGAGCCATAGTTTCCCAAAGTTTAGGTAAATTAATATTAAAAAGCAAGTATGATTATTATTTTCCTAGCTGTATATTGATAAAGTTGAGGTAAGCCCTTTTGTGACATTTAAATGTTTGGTAGATATTCAGATTTCCCCCTTAATACATTGAGGTAAGAAAAATACTTATTTTTTAATAAAATAATATAATGGTTCAGAAAGAATTTGACTTTTTTGAGCAAGTCAGTCTCAAACCAACAATAGAAAGTGAAATTTTGAACTAGTGCTGATTTAGATTTCCATTGCACTCTAAAAAGTATCACAAGTAAATTTTTTTTATATATTTGGGAAAGCAGTTGAGGCTTTGATTCTGTTAAGTAGATTTTGTTTAATAATTTAGATTATAAGTTTTTCCATCCCATATTAATATCAGTATTTACAACTCAAAATATATTGGGTGAAGAGACAGATTTGAGCTTCTCAATAACTATGCATAATTTAATTTCTAAAATGAATCTAAAGATCATATATTGACAGAACTTTTTAATTATAAAATTGTGTAACTGTACAACTTATACAGGTAAGTAAAAGAATTAATTTTAAGCTGTTGCAAAGCAGTTGAACTTACTAGGAAAATGTGTCAAATGTCATGTAGAATTTATTAGACCAGATCATTTATATAGAAAAAATGATGTCATTCTTATTGAGATAGCTCACTTGATTTTGCTCTTAAAAACTCCATTGAGTGTTTTGTTTTGTTTTTGCTGTTAAGTTTAGTGCATAAACAGTTTTTTTTGGAAGCAGAATAGCTCTAATCATCAAATCGAGTGGACTTTCTGCACTTTTTATGTAAACATGATTGTTTAATTAGTTAATTCATTAATAGTTTTGAGTCTTTGCTGTGGCTTTTTGTTGTTGGTGATGGTGGTTTAAAGTTTTTTGGTTTTGGGGGACGCCTGGGTGGCTCAGTCAATTAAGTGTCTGTCTTCCGCTCTGGTCACAATCCCAGGGTCCTGGGATCAAGTTCCAAATTGGGCTTCTTGCTCAGCAGGGAGCCAGCTTCTCCCTCTACCTGCCGCTCCCCCTGTGCTCTTCACCTCTCTTGCTAACAAATAAATAAAATCTTAAAAAAAAAAAAAAAGAGCTGACATCCTTGCTAATTAAAATAAAAGAATATGTCATAGAGTTTCTATTAGGAATAATGAAGTATTCAAATGAACTCAGACTGGGCTACCCAAGGATTGTGGGCTTCTGCCAGAATTGATCCATTTCTGGATTTCCAAAGAGATGTTTAGAAGAGAGAGACATCTTAGCATATTACGCTAAGTGAAATAAGTCAGTCAGAGAAAGACAATTACCATGTGGTCACCATATGTGGAATTTAAGAAACAAAACGGAGGTGCATAGGGGAAGAGAGGAAACAATAAAACAAGATGAAATCAGAGAGGGAGACAAACCAAAAGATTTTTAAACATAGGAAACAAACTGAGGGTTGCTGGAGGGTTGGGGGTGGGGGGATGGGATAACTGGGTGATGGACATTAAGGAGGGTACGTGTAATAATGAACATGTTATATGCAACTGATGAATCACTGACCTCTACCTCTGAAACCAATAATACATCTGTTAATTAATTGAATTTAAATTTTAAAAAATATGTGTAGACAAAAAATAAGGATATCTCTCAGTGTGTTAGAATGATAAAGGAAGGTGTGGGTTAGAATGGTAAGGGAACACAGTGCATTATGTGTTAATTAATTTGAATGAATGATGAATGAATGATGGGGCTGAAGACTGAAAACAAGGACCACGGAGTTACCCACTATTTTTGCCCATTTGGGCAAGCATTCTTCACTCCACAGTTTTTTTCTGATTCCTATACCATGCAGAAATTATGAAGAAAAGAGCTAAAAACCTTAGAAGTCATCTTAAACTGTTACTTTCTACCATATCTTCAAGTTTATATATCTTTTCTCTTAAGCTATGTTCTCTTAAACTTTCTCTTCAACTTAAATTGTATACAAGTATAAATTGTATACAAGTATGCCATATTATACAATTACACAAATAAATTGTATAAAATTGTATAGAAGTATACCATAGAATATTTGAGTATTGATTGTAATATTGAGTATTACTATTTTTAATGAAAATTTTAATTTAATTTAATTTTTTAAATTTTATTTTTAATGAAAGAACAAAAGCTCAGAGTAGGGAGAACATGGAGGAATATTCCCTTCCTCACGAAAATTATGTAATAAAACAGGCCACAGTAAATCCAGACTATTTGTTTTAGTATGATTATGTTGTGGTAAAATTTGTCAAGATTCAGATTCATCTTCTGTGTATTGTAAGATACTGAATTTTTCTAGAAACTAGGGTAGAGGAAACGGCCTTGAAATCAAAATTTGAGTCCAGTTTATAGTGTCAGAACTTATTAATAGTGCATTCCTGAGGAACAGTTTCTTTGAGTGTCATTTCAGATATAATACAAGAATAAAAATTTTAGCCTTGTTGAAGTTGGTGAGGATTTAATGAAAATTATACATATGACACTTGATAGATAATGCTCCTAAGTCCTATTTCCCTTCCCTTCAGAACAAATCAGCAGATAAAAAGAAGTGTTCTAAACTCAGTAGGAAAAAGGAAGTGTCTTTTTTTTATACTAGTCCAAAAGCTCTCAAACTTGCCTCCATGTTAGAATCAGTTAGAGAACTTTTACATACTGATTACCAGGGCTTTCGACCAGAGATTTCTAATTTTAACTGGTCTGGAATGGATCCAGGCATCAATATTTTTACAGGTTCCTCAGAGAGGATTGCTAACATAACTGCCTATTCTCTGGTAGGAATTGGTGAGTGAAGTTAAAATAGGCACAAGAAATGGTGATAGGGTACTCTTTTTTTATACTGGAAAAGTTAAAGTTCTCCTATAAGAGCAGAGAAAATTTGTATGTGATACTCTTTTTAAAAAATGGACTGGTTTTCCTATATAGGTGTAGCAATAAATTAATTACATAGAGCATGTCTTTGGAGTTATACCAGATAAAATGAGATCTTAGTATCAGTAGGTTGACAAAAATAGGAGAGAGGAACTTTTCAAATGGTAAGAATTACTTAAACTGTTACTTATTTTTTAAATTAATTAATTAATATTAGAGCGAGCACATGGGTGGGAGGAGACTCTGGGCAGAGCCCAACACAGGGCTCGATCTCACAACCGCAAGTTCACAACCCGAGCTGAAACCAAGAGTTGGATGCTTAACTGACTGCACCACCCAGGCACCCCTCAACTGTTATTTAAACTGTTAAACTGTTACCTTAAACTTGTACCTTTCCTGTCTACATCTTTATTTTGAAAATGCAATAAATTTACTCCTAACATTTAGCCACCAGATAAGGGAGGGTCTGTGTAATCTTGGTCCCTCTGTTTTGTAGTATCTCATCAGTGGTGATCTCATAATCTTTCTGAACAGCTAGTTTCCTCTGAGTTATGATTTTACTATATAGATTTGATGACCACATTTCCTAAAATAACATTTAATTATGTTTTGGGGACGTTACTTTTTTCATTTTGTATTGTTTTGTGAAAGTCAGGCACTAACCTGCTTATCCATTTGGTTTGGAGTTTCATCCATTTCCCCTCTACTGAGCTTTATATAAACCCTTTTCATTACTTTCTTTACCTTAAATCCGTGGTTCTCAAACTGAAGTGTGTGTTGGAATCACCCGACAGCTTATTGAAACACTATTTGCTGAGTCCCATCCCTGGAGTTTCTGGTTCAGTAGGTCTCAGGTAGAACCTGAGCATTTATATTTCTAACAGTTTCCCGGTGACCTGATGATGCTGACCATCATAGTTTAGATTGTAAGTATTTTAAGTATCTTAAAGGACCTGAATTGGATTTTCTATTTTTCAGGGTGTTTGCAGTTATCTTAATTGAATAAGAATTCATTTTTACTTCTTTTTCTCCTTATTTTGAAGTAAAAGTTTGTATTCATTGTGTATATTGCATTATACCCCATTATTACTAATGTTTTCATCCAATCATATCCAAGCTCTTATCTATTATTAACTCATTCATCCTCATAATACTCCTCTGAGGTAGTTAATTGGTTGTGTCTTTTATGACAGAGAAACCATGAACAAACCCAGGAAGATGATAAAACTAGAAAATGGATATAAAATCTGTGTTACTAGATCTTACTAATGTGTCATGTTATTTTTAAATAGGAGATTATGGTGGGCTCCATGTTTCAAGCAGAGATTCCAGTTGGCATTTGTAGATACAAAGAAAATGAAAAAGGTGGGTTATTAAAGTTATACAGCTTGCATTCATGCTTTTGAAGTGATGAACTGTTACTTTATCATGGAATAAGATCATGACAATTTGTTACCCTATTGATTTATGAAAGAGGACTTTTCATTATTTCTATAAGAAGAAATGTTTACTGTTTTTTCCAGTTTGTCCATAGAAATCTAACAAGAAAAAATGAATGCCTTTTTGATACTGAGTAACTTAAAACATCCCAGCTTTTTCTTTTTTTTTTATATTTTAAATAATAGCCTTTTATAACCTGTATAATTTAAATTTAAAAGTTATTTTATGTCAAGGGAAGTTGTTAGGTTTCAAAAAAACTCAAGTAAACAATGTTATAAAAAGCTTACTTTAAGCGTTGAAACTTTTACTAAAATTGAGTACTTTGTTATTTGTTTATTTGTAAAATAATTTGGGAAACAACTTCTATACTTAACTTTTACATAATTTTTCCATCATTTTATCTAAAAATTGTAAGGTAAGTCATAAATACTTAAACTTCCAGCAACATAAAATATTTGAGGACTTTTTTGCTTTGGGTGAGTTCCAGAAAGAATGTTGTGTGTGTGTGTTTATAAGGAGTTCATGTGTAGTATGAGATCATTCAGTGCTAGAAGTCTTTCTTCATTTCTTTTATTTCAGTTGTTTTCTTCACATTTCAGTTTACGTAGGCAGAGCCTTTCAAAGTTGTAGAATTCTTTTGTTTGTTTCCTTTTTAATATTCCTCTAAAAACTTCCTTTATGTATTAAGTATGTACCTGCTTTCAGGGAAGTAGTAGGTAGAGACAGTAAAGGAACAGCACAGGCCAGTAAATTCTAGTGATACAAAAATGTTTTAACACACCAGTAATAACTTGTGCTTTCAAGTTAATTCCTGCAACATACAGGAACATTAAAGGTACCTATATGGAATGATTTTGTTATATAGTGAAATTTTCTGCATATGTTTTGTCAGTATATTGTAATTGTGTGCAAAAATAAGTGAACCATTGGCATTTGTATTTATTTTTGTCATTGAATTTTAAATACTATGCTTTCCTTATATGCTATATAATGATTAGCACATGTTCACCATGGAGTTCTTTCTCCAACTAGAGAACTGAAAGTTAGACATTAGTTCTAATTTATGAAATTTTTTTAAAGTTTTGACTATGAAAAATAATAGTGTCTATCTTAGAAAATTTTGTATTTTGTAGGTGGGTAGGAAAGTATCTTGGTTTTATATGTGGCAAGTTAGTGTTAGAGCTAAAGGTAGTTTTACTTATCTCTTAATATGTTTTGTTTTATTTTAACATGTTTGTATTGTCAGATGTCACAGTAAATGATCAAGATCTCTAATTTTCAGTGTTTTAGATTTTGGTTTAATGCTTTCAGTTTTATTATAATTTTAGAAAGCAGTTGTATACATAATTTTTTTTTCCAGGAAAGGTATGATTTGTGATGCTTTCTTACCATATGAACTTAAACATTTTAGATTGTGTGAGGATCAGACTAGGTTTAGCAGGTGATACTACATGGGAGGGGTCACTGTGGTAGAGGGACTTTCCTCAGTTTTGTATTTCTACGAATTCAAACTTTTGTCATGATACCCAGAATTTGTCACCACTTAGGATACCCTGTGCAAACAAACCAAACGTGTGTGAAACTTAGGTAAACTTCACCATTGGAAAACAACTGTTAAAGGGATATTGATCATTAGTGCATTCTTTCCCTTATAGGATAGAGTTTGTTTCATTGGTTTGGTGAGCACACATTCAAAAAGGAGAGTATTTGATTTGAGTGATCTTGATAAAAATGCCATAAAACTAATATACTTTATACCTTCACTGTAGGAATTACTTGACACAAATGGACTGGAATTTTTTCACTGATAAAGGAAGCCCTATTACTGAGTATCCTGGAGAGACATTGATAGATTTTTTTCCCTCTGATACCTGATTTCTTTTTTTACTAGACTCCATGCAGTTTATATATTCCTCATCAGTTATCACTTCTGTTTCAAACAATGATATAAATAAGATTTGTTACAATTGTGTTTGAGTCCTTTTCCTTTGAACCTTTATTACACAGTCTCAACTATACAATTTCCTAAATTTATGTAAATTAGCGCTTAAACTCAACACAGTATATTATAACCATTTCTTTATTCATTTTTATATCCTTAATACCTAGTATGATTCTGTTACATAGATAGTAAACATTTGGTGGCTGAATTATTAGGTAGGTGCAGAATAATGTTAACAGAACTGATATGGAGCCATTAAACTTCAATCAGTACATAGGCATTGGGCCTTGGACATGTTTACTTAGCTTCTTTTTCTCCTCATCTATAAAACAGCTATAAAAGAGCATTATTTACAGAGCCTGTTACGAGGATTTACATGTGATGTTTTTATGTGTCACTTTAACAGCATCATGTCTGGCACATAGTAAGTGCTCAGTGAGTGGCCTTAATGTTCAGTGGATGATTACTCTTACCCATTATTTAGGTATAATTATTATTATTCAGATTTTCAGAAAGCACTGGTTTATGCTGTTTTACTTAAAAGTGGCAAAAGCGCAATTCAGTTAGCTTCAGCAAAAAAGAATCTATCTGCTGCTTAACTGGAAGGTTCTGGGTGGCTTCAAATATAACTGGATTTCGGGTTATTATTATATCAGCTGTCCCTCCCCTTTTTCTCTTTCGTTTATTGCCAGACAAGCTAAGATGGCTCCTGGGAGCTCCTGGCTTACACTTTACACTGTCCTTGTAGCTAGAGAACCCACAAAAATGAGAACTTCCACATCCACCTTTGTTCCTACAAAAGTAGTCCTAGAGAGAACCTCTATTGACTTAGCTTGAGTCATACTGAGCCGGAAGTAATTACTGTGACCAGAGAGAAGAGTGAGTATTCTGGCTTGCCTTGGCTCATTTATCTGTTCTTGGGGATCCAGGGTGTGGTGTCTGCCCCACTCAGACCAGATGGAAAGGATTTAATTCCCAAAGAAGTGTTGAGTAGATGAAAAGCATGATTTTTCAGTTCTGTGTGTGTTTTGTTTCATGTACTGAACTGAACACTGCAGCTTTTGTGATAAGACTGAATTGAATGCTGATAAACATCTTAGAACCCAGAGATGGCTGCTACTCCCACTCCCCAACTGAGAACTATCTGCCCAAAGTGTCAGTACTGCTGAGGTTGAGAACCCTGGACTAGATTGATTGAGAATTCATTGGACTACCTAGAGGGATAAAGGTCAAGAGGAAAGAGGAGCTAAGGTATTTTCTGGCCGAATTTTCATGCTTTCTTGATGGAGTTTTAGAGTAAGGAAATGATGGCTGGGAATTAGGAAGCAGTGAATAGCAAAGGACCATGTAAATCATCATTTCTAATGGACATTTGACAAATTCTTAAGTTACTGAAACACGTGTTATTCTTAGTTGATGCTGATAATGTTAAAAAGGCAGTTCATTTAGCTTATACATAGGAAAACCTCAGCTGGACAACTTAAAATGTAGGTCATTAATCATAATGTGACCTTTTAAGACCATTTTTGTTGTAAACTTCATTATTATACCATAGCTGATTATAGATTGGCATTTTCATCCTCATAATATATTGATTAGGTTAAGTTTTTACTTAGGCATTAAAAATAGAATAACACTTTTTTTTTTTTTAACTAAAACTGGAAGTTAATATAAATTTATTCATTGGGAATTAATTTCCCAGATTGCAGAAGTTTGTGGTCTTTTGGTGGTGGTTTCTCAGCTTTCTACATTAGTTCCCCACCACCACCACCACACGCACCCAGTGAACTTCATTGAATTTTTTTTTTCGTTGAATTATTTTGACAACCCATTTTGTTTGTTTGTCAAGCTTCTTACTTAAAGTGCCATAGTAAGCACTTCCCTAACTAAACTTGTGTGCTCTTGTCTCCTGAACTCCCACTTACTTGTAATCACATGTGAATTATATCTGCCATCATATATTTGTTTTTCCTTTTTAAAGATTCTAATGTTTAGGCTTTGTAATTCATTCAGAAAGCAATAGTTTCAGAGGATGCTATTACATTTCAGTGATTGTGATCTTTTGAAATCCAGCATGTTCATATCATTTTATGTAATTATGATAAAGGGTATTTGTTTCTTTTTGTTGCTTTTGTAGAGTTTTTCTCTTCATATATTTATAGATGTTATTTCTCTTCTGTATTTTAGTGTGTTTTACCATAGTGGTATTTTTCTGATACTCTGATTTCTTGGCATTTAGTTCTACAATAGACACTTAATAAAAAATCAGCTGTGTTGCCTGTTTTATTTAGAGCACAGTCAAAAGTCATATTTTATTAGAGTGAAACTTAAGTGGAAAATAATTTGGTCTCTTTCTGAAACCAGTAAAGGCAGTGGTTTATTCTCTATGGAAATGCTATTTGTTCTCATCCGCGGTTACTTTTCAGTGTGTTGTAATTGTATAAAATTAGATGTTTTCTCAGGGTCAGGGTCTGGCTTGTCATTTGGTGCCATCTGCTGATGTTTGTGTATTCAGCTTAACTAGGGTATCTGTATCCTGTGACAATCGGAAACTTACAGAATGATTCCAGAAATATCTTCCAGGTCACTTGGGCTTGTTTTATAAGCCCAATATAGGGATATTTACGTGGGAGAACACTGACGACTCAGGGACCCACCTTCCGTGTTTCTTAGGTTTTCCTTGTAAGGCTTTCACCCATCAGTCTCAAGAACATAAAAGCTATAGTCTACCTCCTTCAGTGAACAGAGGCTAAGCAGAGAACAAAAATCAATAGTATTAATTAATTTAAAATAATTGTACCAGCAGGTTAGAAAAGGAATGAGGTTTACTAAGGAAAATTTTCTTGAGATTGTCCTTGTATTTTAAAGAAGAGTATCTTTTTCGGGGAACAGAAAGGTAGAAGGATATTTTAAAGTGTGGGTGTATAGTTGGGGTGGAGTCTGAAACAAGGTAATTTTATATGAAAACACCTAACATAGTGCCTGATAGATAGGACATGCTTAATGGCTGTTAATTCCCTTTTTATAACACAAGGAACTTTGACACTTTGAGTTATCCTCTGTCTCTTAAATTCAGTTTTTCTTTAGCTGGCTCCTTCTTGTTGGCATTCAAATTATTGTCTCCTGTGTTTAAAAACCAACAAAACCAGAAAGTTTCTTCAACTCTATACTTCCTCTCTGGCTGCTACCCCATCTCTTCCCTTACAACTGAACTTTTCAAGAGTTCTCTGCTTTCTTTCTTCCCCTGACGGAAGATGACTCTTCCGTCATCGCCAGTGTGGCCTGGGCTTCCATCTTTTTACAAAAACAGCTCTTGAAACATTTACCTCCTTTGTTAGTAAATCCAGCATACCTGTTTCAGTTTTCATACTGGCCATTTAACAGCATTTAACTCCTGGAAACCTTTTCTTCCCCTAGCTGCGATGGTGCCACTTTTCTGGTATTTCTTTCTATCTTGTGACTATTCCTTAACTCTGTATTTCCATCTTCCTGTCATTTTGAATTGCTCACATCTTAGGTCTTCCTTCTTTCCTTTCACTTTTAAAATTGTGATAGCATTTAGGCTTTAATCTTATTCTAATGGAAATTCTGATGAAAGCTAAATGCTTTTTTTAAAAAAGGAAAGACTCGTTTTATGAAAATGAATTATGTTCATTATAATACATTTTAAGCTTCATAGAAAAAATATATAAAAGTAAGAAAAATGATCCCAAATCTTACCACCAAGAAATAAAACCATGTTGACATTTGGTGCGCATTGCTTTAGATCTCCTATTTCAAAAAATAGTAATCATAGCTAACACCCATTGAACCTTAATATGTGCCAGAATTGTTTTAAAGTGCTTTAAATTTTTACAACCCTTTGTGATAGTGTTGTTTTTGCAGATGAGGCAGAGAGCAGGAAGTAACTTGCCCAAGGTCATACAGATAGTAAGTGGTGGTGGTGCTTTTCAAACGAAGAGACCTAGACTTGGTAAACTCAAGCTGTCATCTTAGCTTTCCGGTGAAGAGCTATCAAATGGCATCTCTCTGTTTAGATTGCTTAAATCACTTAGGCTATAAATATGGCCCAAGAACAAAGTTAGGCAAATACTAGGACCATGTTTTACCTCTCAGTAATCAATATTTTGGCTCCTAAGTGTTAGTTATTTGGTCAGTGATAGTGTTTTAACACAAACTTGAACAATTTTTGGCATTTTTTTAACATTATGTTTTACTAATTTAGTATATGAAAATGATGATCAGCTCCTGTGGGACCCTGAGTACTTACCAGAAGATAAAGTGATTGTATTTCTTAAGGATGCATCTAGAAGAACAGGTGATGAGAAAGGTGTAGAAGCAATTCCTGAAGGATCTCACATTAAAGACAATGAACAGGTACATGAGTAAGAAGTAACTGTTTGATTATGGAATGAATAAGTCATGGGGAGGAAAGGTATAGCATAGGGAATATAGTCAGTGGTATTGTGATAAGGTCACCTTATATGGTGATCCCTCTGGTGAGCATAGCATACTGTGTACAGTTGTCCAGTCACCATGTGGTACACCTGGAGCTAATATAATACAGCTTTTTTTTTTTACTAAAGTTCAATTTAAAAAAATACCGTAAGGTTTTCCCAAAATAAATTAACCACATATATTTTAATATGTTTTATATATTTACATTTATAGATGTAAGTGCTGTCACATTCACTGTTACTGTTCTGGACACCAAAATTCTTATACTGTCATCAACAGGGAATCTGAAATAGCTAGTGTACATACTCGCTTCATGAGTATGATTTCAGCTAAAATAAACAAAAATCTGGTCTCTCATTTTGCCTGTATATACGTTTTATTAGGATTTTTGAAGTTCCTTTGGATATCCCTAAGAATGTATAAATATCATCAGTGTTGGGAGTACATATTTGGAATGAAGTTATCAGGGATATAGTAGACCAGTGCCTACCATGAACCTAATAACAGCATTACCTTTTTTTTTAGAATTAGAATAGGAACTGCAAAAAAGCCAAAAAGACAGGTTTTGTGATTTTTATAGAACAGTTTATTTTCATTTTTAAATTTCTGAGGTACTGTAGCTGCCAAGTTAGAGTATTTGCTTATCCTGCTTTCTAAATATTTAGAAGCGTCAATTATCAAGATTGAATTTGTTTTTCTTTAGTGCTCTGTTGCATACCTAGAATTATTTGTCTTCCAGAAATGATGAAAAGGAATACTGGATTCAGGAAGAGCTTTTACTTTTTTAAGAAATTGTAGCCTTGAACTTTTCATAGTCTGGGTCACATACTGAAGGCATTTATTTTTCTAGGCATTATATGAATTGGTTAAATGCAATTTTGACACGGAAGAAGCATTGAGAAGATTAAGATTTAATGTAAAAGCAGCTAGAGGTAAGTGTAAATACATTTTTGTTTTCATGATTTAGCAGAAATTTAATAAGTTTAAGATCTTTAGTCTGTGTAGGTATATCCTAAGTTTAATAATACTGATCTTTCTGAAATCAGTAAATATTTGCTGAATAATAAATAACTTGTTGTAACTTGTTAAGTAACTTGTATATAACAAGCATTATGGGAAATGGATTAAGACTGTTCGTTCTTTTTGTGAAAATATGGCAATTAAAATACATGATGCCTTTTAATTTCAAGGCATTTTTATTAAATATTTTCTTATTTGATCTTGTTAATAATAGCCCTGTGAACTATGGAATGTGACGGTTATAACTTTGCTTTCAAAATGATGAGACTGAGGTCTCTAAACTGAAGTACCTTTGCTAAGGCAAACATAATTTATAAACAATGAAGCCATAACTAAAATCCAATTTTTTGTTTTTGTACTCTAAATTGGTTCCCACCCTGCTTCACTAAGAACACTGTATGACATTACATAGCAAACAAGATACTTACTCATTCAGCAAAAATTGGAGGACCTGCTAAGTTCTGAGGACATAATTGTGAACAAAGTCCTGCCCTCATGATGCTTAGAGCCTAGGTAGGGGGAGCTGAAAAATAGTTATGAGTTCTTTCAAGGAAAATTAGAGGGTATAATTAAAATTTATTGCAGTAGGACTTAACCTGATTTGGGGCAAGAGGCTGTTAGGGAAAGTTTATAGAACAAAGTGATATTTTTGCTAGGATGTAAACAAATTAGCTAGGTGAAAAGGGGGTGGTGAGGCAGAAAATGATTCTAGACTAAGGGAACAACATCACAAAAATCTAAAGTGAGAAAGAACATAGGGAATTTAAGGAATTGAAAGGTGGCTCATATAGTTAGATCATAAAGGAGAAAGGTGGTCCAAGTTAAGGTTGAAGAATTAGCGACCAAATCATCCAAAATTTTATTAAATACAGGATTTTTGTCACTTCATCTTTTGCAGCCATCAGTAATAGAGTTCAGGAGTGAAATATTTACCTTATTGTTATTAGAAACTTATATTTTTATTTATAACTGTATATGCACTATTTAGGGGAAAATCGCTTATAACAGTTTTCTCCCTCATTTTGTCAGAGGAATTATCTGTTTGGACAGAAGAAGAGTGTAGAAATTTTGAACAAGGGCTAAAGGCCTACGGAAAGGATTTTCATTTGATTCAGGCCAATAAAGTAAGTAATGATAATGTTCTCTCTTTTATAAAAAGTTATTTAGTTAATACAGATCATCTTATATTTTTATTACCTTCAAATGTTTTAACATATTTTTAGGGAATTATAAACATGCTTATATTTTCTGGGATCTGTTTAGCAAGTGACTTTTCAGTGCATGATACTAGCCTTTAAGACTTGCACTGATAAATGGGCGCCTGGGTAGCTCAGTCGTTAAGTGTCTGCCTTCAGCTCAGGTCATGATCCCAGGGTCCCAGGATTGAGCCTCGCATTGGGCTCCCTGCTTAGCAGGGAGTCTCCTTCCTCTTCCACTCACCCTGCTTGTGTTCCCTCTCTCGCTGTCTCTCTCTCTGTCAAATAAATAAAAATTTTTAAAAATCTTTAAAAAAAGAAAAAGAATTGCCCTGTTATGTTAATCAACTTCTGGGTGGAATCTTTGTATACAGTGTAATTACTTAAAGTTTTTTTCCACAAACTTGTGACAGATTTTTTAAAGGACTGGTCTTTAATCTTGAAACTTCAAAAACGTTTTTAATGTGACACTATTTACAATTAAAATATCTTTTACATTTATTTAAGTGCTGAGTGTCTAAAATCAGATACTTTAATTTGGCTTTAAAATTTAATTTTCCAGAAGACTATCTCAATAAATCAGCTTTATTATACATTATAAATTTATAATTTGACAATTTTACTTAACATGATTCATTTATCATTCTGTATTAATAATACCAATTATACAGTGTTGGTGTATACCCAAAAGAACTTCATAATTACTTGCAGATTTATTTTTAGGTTTAATTCTCTTAAACTAAAATCAGGTGAGATTTTTAGTAGGAACTGTACAGTTATATAGAATAGAAAGATATGTTGTTTCTGTGGGAAAGTAGAATGTGCAAAATTAAAATCTCAGAGCTTAAATGGAGGAAATTAAGTAATTTCTTGGTTTATATAAATGCCACATTTTTAGCAAAAAGAAATGACAAGGAGTGTGGCTTTACATGTTTCCTTAAAGAGAGCATCTAAGTTTTGAGTGATGGCTTGTCTAGGATGGTGTTGACTGAGTTCTAAGTAGTCTGTCACCACATTATTCTTTGTATACATCTTGATGTGATGGGTGTTCACTTAATTTGTTTCAGCACATTTAAGAGTATTTTATGTTCTATAAATAGTTGATTGTAAATCCTGTGAGTTAATTTTTCTTACTTTTATTGTGCATTAACTAGTTTATTTTATTTGAGAGAGAGAGAGTAGGCATGGCAGAGCAGAGAGAGAGAGAGAGAATCTTAAGCAGGCCCCACACCCAGTGCAGAGCTTGGTATGGGGCTCGATCCCATGACCCAGAGATCATCTGAGCTTAAATCAAGAGTCGGATGGTCAACCGACTGAACCACCCAGGTGCCCCTAGCTAATTTATTCTTGATTATCTTGTTGCATCAGACATAATGACTAATAAGAAATTTTGAGTCTTAGTATTGGTATCAAAAATGTATCCTACCTCTTAGTGTTGTGTCCAAATCATCTGATTACTTCAAGCATAGGGAATATTCTGTGAAAGGGGTGCATTATACTGATGACTAGACACGTAGGTTTCTGATTGTAAAAAAACAAAAAAAGGTATTGTTTCATAGTTGAATGGAGCAACATTTTGGGATAAGAGTTTTCTAGCATTCCTAGATTTCCTAGATTCCTAGATTAATATAGTGTTTGGATTCAAACACTATATTAACCAAACCATGATGGATTATCTATGGAGGGGACTCTGAAACTGATAAGCTGGTATGATAGCTAGCAGCAGCAAGAACCTCCCCCACACCCCCAGAAATCCCTTTTTTTTAGGGAGTAAAAACTTAATAGGTAACTTAAAACGACTAGCCAAAACAGTCTTTTTACGTAATATTGAAACTAATAAAAAATATTTCTTTATAAATATTTGGGATGGTGATATTTCAGTCATGTAGAAGTCAACTACCTATCTATACCAATATACTAGTTACACTGAACAGAAAGAGGATAGTTACTCTTTAGGGAGAATGGTCCAGTGAAAACATTGAGACTTTGTTGTTATACCTGGAATTGAAGTTTGAATCTTAATCATGAGTTCTAGGCTTACTTTATTGAAGATTTTTCATAATATTGTCAACATTGTATGTCCCCAAAATATCTTTCCAATTTTTGCTTTCAGTAAAGTACAATTGACTTCACTTATGTCTATATAGAAAGAAGATTCTAAAGGAGGAGAAAAAGCTTGAGAAGATTATTTAAAAAAGAAAAAAAGCCTTGATAGCTTTCAGTCTTAAAGCAACATGGGCCAAATTTGTAAAGTGCAAGCATAAGGGAAGAAAGAAAAATGTATGTCAAGTAGTGAAATGAGGATGTCATCAAATTGACTTGAGGTGTAGTCAGTCTCACAGGACACCTATTTCGGGATTAGAAATTTATGGCTTAGAGCAATATGGTCTTGCATCCCAACACTCACAGAGATGGCTTTTTTTTCCTTTTAAATTCCCAGTATTTTTTATACACACACACACACACACACGCACACACACACGCAAACCCACCCACCACCACCACCACCACCACCACCACCACAGCTATCCAAGCTAAGTAGGAAAAAGAGGCAAGTTGTCCACATCATTTGCCAGTCCCATTGGTGCTGAACGTTTATGGAAGGGGAATCATTCATTCACACAAATATAGCACGGTTACTGGAGTAACTTAGTAAACAATGAATTAGAATTGGCATTATTACAGTACTTTCCAACTCATTATGGAATATTCTCAGCCTTTCTAGAAAATAAAATAACTGAGTCTGGATCTCCGGTGGGACTACTAAGAGAATCTTTTAAATGGAATTTTAAATGTAGACTCCCTAGGTACTCTGTGAGTAAAAGTATTTGCACACTGTTTATAATATTAATTTTAGCTTAAATGCCACTTCCAGATATTTTCAATAGAGAAGTGTTTATGATAAATTAATATGATAGTTTTTTAAAAAGCATAATACTAAATATCTGAAGATTTGTTGCCAGTGTATTATTTCTCTCAATGGGAGTTTGGAAAGTGTGGTTTTTAAGAAAGCTGCTGTAGTGTTAATATTTTATATAATGTATTATATATTACTTAAGGTACATACAGATTTGTTTTCAGACCCAGATATTTTTCATGAAATACTGCTTTAAGGAGGAGATGATTCTTAAAAACAACTGTTTCTTACAGGTTCGAACAAGGTCAGTTGGTGAATGTGTAGCATTCTATTATATGTGGAAAAAATCTGAACGTTACGATTTCTTTGCTCAGCAAACACGATTTGGAAAAAAGAAATATAATCTTCATCCTGGTGTAACGTGAGTGTATTTTTTCTGTTGAGTCCTATATTTTTTGCTCTTGAATTTTTTCTTGAGAAAATTGTAATATTTAGAATCTTTTTCAGTATGATAAAAGTTTACATTTGTTTAAATTTATCCATTTATAGACATATTTTCATAGGAATTTAGTTTTCAGTATTTTATGAAAGATTATGAACTACAATTAATACTGCTTGAGACAATAAATGTGTAAGAGTATGTTTTCAGGAATTAAAATGGATCATAACAGCTGGTAAAGCATGTTTTTGTTAATTTCTGTTCCATTAGTATAAACACATAGTTTTAATCTAATAATACTATGAGCACAGTGAGAATAGGAAAGAGACTCTATTCATAAGCTATATGGCTATCTGCCTAATAAAGGCCCTTTAAAAAGGAATGGAAATTAGTGTCTTTCCTTGTCCAGTCTACTTTTGATCCCAGGAACCAAACTAAGATTTGGATATGGATGGTATAAAAGGGAAAATATAGAGAGAGAATTCATCAGGTCAAATTTCATTTTCTTTTTTATTACAAAGTTTTTTGTTTTTTGTTACAAAGTTTTTTGTTTTTTGTTACAAAGTTTTTTAAAGAGGAAAGAACTTGTCCATGGTGACTTCCCTTTTCCCTGATTTCTTGAAAACTTCCTTTAACAGAAATATTTAATAATTAGTCCTGCAACTTCAGCTTACTCCTAGTGAAATAGGGAGTGTGGGTTATTATATGTAGGCTTCATACAAAATGCTTTGTATGCCTGTACCAGTCGTCATGCACCAAAATCTCTTAGCCTCATTCAGTCTAGCTTTGGAAAAATAAACTGTCCCTGCTGCCACTAATAATTTGTTACTTAAGTTCATCAAGTATTGAATGAACCCTTCGTCTCTCATTGAGGTGCTCTAAAATGCTGATGAATTGCTAAGGTGGAATTAAACTTTACCATTCTATCCTTGATTATTTCCTGCTGTTTACAGAATAAAAATAATGCTGAGTTGTGACTTCATTTGGTCAGTGTGTACCAGTAAAATTCTTAGGATTGGCCAAATAACTGCCTTTGAAAGATGTGCTTATATGCATATTTGATTGTGCTTTGCAAACTCCTAGGCTAGACTGTTTGCTGGTCATGTTCATTTACAGGTGTCTCTTCTGGTCACTTCCCTGAAGGATCAAACACTCTAAAATAAAATCCAAAGCAAATTTATTTAAAAGAGAATAAATGGGTATGATTGCCCCAGAAATCATTGGATACTGGGCTCTGTGCCTCATCTTCCATTATTCAAAGCTCATGATGGCTAGAGTTGAATTTCATACATAGCATTCCAAATTTGATCTAATTGCTTAATGTTATAAATTTAGAGTTAATTTTTCTCATGATGATTTATTGGTTACATTGAGGTATAATGATGTGGAACTAGATGCAGCTATCTGGTCTTCAGAGTTTATCTTAAAATAGTCAGTTTTCAGGCTATTCTATAGGGAAAAGCAATAGTAACATCTTTCATTTTTTTCACCCATTTCAGAAATAATGTTCACACACGAACTACAGGCAATCTGACGTCACCAGCAATAAGAACATAAGAATTGCCATGCTGGGTCAGACCCATGGTTCATCCAGTTTTCTCTTTCAGAAAGCATCACCAAGGGAAGTGTTGTGGGCTGGCTTAGTTGGTCCTCTGTGCTGTCAAGCTCAACAGGTTAGGTAGGGATGTGCTGCCAACACTTGAGTTTCTCTAATAATCTCTCCATAGCTTCCGGAAACTTTTTGAAGATCCTTGTATCTGTAACCTTGATTCCTCTTAAGGTTAAGTATTCAGTAGGTGGAGTAGCTGCAGCTAAAAGTAATCCCATGTCATCTCTTTTCTCATGCTTCAAGATTTTACAGTGATCCCCTGGTATAATGGTATGAAGTGAACAAATAGGGCTTTCTTCCCCCAGGCGAGAATACTGTGGTTTTGTAGGCTTAAGTGTTTTGTTTTGTTTTTTAATTGATGGAACTAATGTTTTACTCCAATTTATCCCTTTTAGCTGTGCTACATATTCCATAAGAAGCTGTGACTGGACTATACGTTACTGCCCAAATAGGGAGAAATTAAGGTTTTCTATAAACATGAAGATTCTTTTCAGTTTGCTTCCAGGACCTCCTTCTGTTAAGAGTTGCGCTTCTAGTGCACAAAACATTAAGTTATTATAAGACAGAAATACGAGTTTTTTCATCTTTTTTTAGTCAAAATCCATAGTTTAGAGCACATTATACTGTAAGTTATTTGTTCATTTTTCTGTTACATTTTTACCTTCCATTTGTTCACCAGAATGACGCACATTAGCCATTTTTATGCCTTACAAACAACCTTTGCAGAGATCTTCCTGCAGATTTTCTTTTAGTCACCACCAGGAAGAACTGGTAGCCATATGCAAATTAGAGACTTTACTGTAGAAGCCTTGCAAATAATTTTTTTTTTTTTTAACTAAAAGTTAACCCATCATAATTCTGGTTATTTGAATGCTACTCCAGCCTCCTGGATGGCCCACCTGACTCTTCTCCTTCCTTAAGCATTGTGGATGCCATTAATCTTTAAGAAATAATAATTCTTTCACAATATCATTGCCATATCTAGTCAATTTTAGCTTCTTTGCTTGGCTTTTCACATCCTCCATTATCCATCCCAACCATACCAAATTTATTTCCAGCACTTCCTCATCATGTATCATATGTTCTTACTAGTCTTAGCTTCTGAAATCCCTTTGTGTTCATACTCATTTGTGTTTCTGTGTGGTTCAAATTTTTTACATAATTGTTCTAGAATTACGATGCATGGCATAAAGCTGAAGGGGGGTACTAAAATACCATCAGATTTAATTCTATCTATTTATAGGCGTGAAAATAAGGCCTAGAATGGTAAATTGATTAGCTCATGGTTATATACATTTCTTTGATATGTGTTTTGACTCAGACTGTTGAAAGCTTCAAGTCCCTATATTCATTATATCCCTGTATCCCAGGGGACAGTGTGATCATGTAGTTTGATATTACAGCTACAGTTAATAGTCTGTTGTAGACTATTGCCACAGACTATCAGTAAAATCCTAAACCTTTCCATTGTTTACTTTTTTTTTTTTAAGATTTTTATTTGTTTATTTGACAGACTGAGATCACAAGTAGGCAGAAAGGCAGGCAGAGAGATAGGAGGAAGCAGGCTCCCTGCTGAGCCGAGAGCCAGACTCGGGCTCGATCCCAGGACCCCTGGGACTATGACCTGAGCCGAAGCAGAGGCTTTAACCCACTGAGCCACCCAGACGCCCCTTCATTGTTTACTTCTTACAAGCATTTTTACTCACCTGCTCAGAAATTCTAAGGATTTGTCTTAATATTTCTGTTAAAATTATTGAGGGAATTTTAAAATAATGGCTTTACGGGTGGCTGTTGTGGGTTTTTTGTTTGGTTTTTTTGTTTGGTTTTGGGTTTTTTTGTTTTTTTAATGTCTACTCTGTGCCATGCACAACTTAGGCACAGGTGGTACAGTGGTGAACAAAAAGACTAAAATTCCTGCCTTTGGGGGATGAGTCCAGCACTGGTATCAGCAGATTTTCCCTATAAAGAGCTAGAGTAAATATTTTAGGCTTTGTGAGCCTTCAGCCTCTCTTGCAGCCACCCAGCTTTGCTGTTGTGCAAAAGCAGTCATAGATACTATGTAAATGAGTGGATGTGGCTCTGTCCCATCAAAATACTATTCACAAAACCAGTGGCCAGCCCATAAGCCACAGTTCACTGACCTTTATTCTAATGACTTTGTAGCACTTCATAGTTTACAAAAACACTTCCCTGCACACATCTTGTGCAACAACTGTGTGTCATAGATACATACATAATGTTCCAGGTAAAGATACTAGGAAACCTCAGAGATAAGTATTTTAGCCCAGATCTTCTAAACAAAACCCAAAGTCACTTAATACAGCTGTCCTCCCATACCATATAGTTCAGGAGTAACTTAGTAACTTAAGGAAGTGAGTTCCCCTCTAATGGTAGGTTGGCAGACTAAGCCAGCAGATAAGCTGAGGAATTTAATAGCCTCTTTTAGCTCAGATCTAGCAGAAAGGTAATACAGAAGTTACGCAAGAAAGTTCAGGGAAGTGATTCATTTGTAGGCCCTAATTTGTCTTTCAGGTATTGCTATAGCCATCACATAATCTTTAGGAGCTTTAAAATTTCAATCTGTGTTTGTGCAGAAATTCTTCTCTACTCCTGATTGGCACCATCCCTCTCTTCACTTACAAATCCTCTGATTTTAATTGGGCCACTCTGAGCACTTACCTATAGTTTTAAAGGTTTTAAACCTTCATATAGGTGTCTAAAATTTGCTAGTTTAAAGTCCTTATGCGTTTTTCCATTTAAATGTTCAGATGCTGGTGAGGTAGATGAGGCACTGGACTAAATGTAAGTGAAAATTAGGACATATTTGTTAATAAAGCCTTCTAAATTTAACCTCAATTTTAATTTTCAGCTTTTTTTAATATAAGAAAGTAATTATTTTATTATTTCACTTAATTTTAAGGGATTACATGGATCGTCTTCTAGATGAAAGTGAAAGTGCTGCATCTAGTCGAGCACCGTCCCCTCCCCCAACTGCCTCAAATAGTAGTAACAGCCAGTCTGAGAAAGAAGATGGCACTATCAGCAATAGTAATCAGAATGGTAAGCAACCAGAAAAGTACTTTCATTTGTTCATGATGAAGGGCACTTTTAGTAGCCCAGGTAATTTAGTTTTGGTTTGTATTAAACTTTCCAGTGCAGGTGTTATAAAAATAGTAATTGTAAATATCCACAGAACAAGCATACAAATACCAACACACATATATACTAACACAGAATATAAATTGTAAAGAACTCCTGTTGATATCACTAAAAACTAAGTTTAATAAAAATAAACCGTCAATAGTGACCATTTCTTTTAAGGAATTTATTCTTTTTGTGTAGCATCAATTTTCTTAATAAGTTGGGAATGCTTGGATAGGATATTCTTGTTAACTCTTAGACCAAAATACCAGCCATTTAGCCATTTCACATCAGGATTACACAGGTATTTATTAAACACATTGAAAGCTGTAACACTTTATCTGGAAAATAAGCATTTGGTGCAAAGAAGATAACAAGGGCACAGTTTTGAATAGTTTTCTCTCTGATAGCATAATAACCTTGAAGGATGAGAAAAGATAAAGCAGGTGTCAGGTTCTGCATTAATACTGTACAGAAACATTTCTACTTTTATCTCAGTGAGAAAAAAGCATATGAATTCTATTATGTTTGAGGTTCAGTTAATGTCGTTTAAAATATGCAGTGGACCAAAGATCATTGTGGTGATAAGGAAAACCTGTCAGAATTATTTTGATTTCTGCTTTAATTAAAATGGTCTTCCTAAGTAAGACAGTTGCCAAGCCGAGACTAATAAAGGAGAAAACCAGTGAATTAGAGATAAGCTCTGCACCTGCATTCAGATATAACCATCTTATGGGAAGGCCAGTGGAGAGCTAAGCTCCCTGACAGAAACTAGAAGAACAACACTGAACGATTATCCCTTATTCTGACCTTTGGTCTCACACTGGCACTGCTGGAGTGAATATACTTTGTTCATTTGATGACCCCTCTCTATTCCCTCACTACAAGCCAAACAAACAAAAAAAAGGGCTCAGCAGCCATTTCTTGGTTCTAAACAGGTTCAAGGGCATGTGGTCTAAGGCTATCCTGAGGTAGAATAAGAAGCTAAGGGTCTGCCCTTAAGACTAGGGCAAGAAGCTCAGGGAGACATATAATTGATACTACTTTATCAAATTCTTTTTTTTTTAAGGTTTTATTTATTTATTTGACAGATCACACGTAGGCAGAGAGAGAGGAAGGGAAGCAGGCTCCCAGCTGAGCAGAGAGCCCGATGGAGGGCTCGATCCCAGGACTCTGGGATCATGACCTGAGCCAAAGGCAGAGGCTTTAACCCACTGAGCCACCCAGGCGCCCCTTTGTTTTCTTTTTTAACCATTTGATGAGAATATGCAGTTAACCTAAGGAGGTATTTGTAAGTTAGTTATATTCAGTAGCCCAGAAGCCATTCACCTAGGTACCCATAATCAAGATTCCCACGTTTTTCAAGGAAAGGAGGGAATTCTCCAGTGCAATTTTATTTGTTTCATAAGGGGCTTAGTGTCTTGAGATCTTATTTTTTTTTACCTGCTCACAATTGTCACATAGCTCTTTGGGCTTACTATAGCGGTATAATTTCTTCTGCATCCTGGTGCATAATCCCCGTTATGCATTTATGATTTGAGTGCACTTTTGAGTTGGGGCCATAGAATATTTTCTTTGACCAAAATGTAACATTTGAGGCTCATCTTTTATACTGAATATATTTTTCAGATAATTAAAACTTAACTATCTCAGTGGCACATTTTACATTTACATTAAGTATCCAAAATGGCTAGTTCATTTTGCAGTCAACTCTAAGTGCCTTTTTTACTGTAACTTCTAGCAAATAATTACTCTCTTTTTTCAACCTGTTACTGAGGAATTTATGTTTGCTTTTATGACTTTAAAATGTATGTTTGGACAAAGCAAGTGTTAATTTTTGAACATTGTGACAGATTACTTAAATCCATTTAGGTAAATGTATGATTTTTACCCTTAAAGCACAATACCTTTATTCTTACATTAAGAATAAAAGTCATGGGACCCCTGGAGATAAAAATACATTACATGTTTATTAAAAAAAAATAAATTAAAAAAAAAAAAGTCATGGGGGCACCTGGGTGGCTCAGTGGGTTAAAGCCTCTGCCTTTGGCTCAGGTCATGGTCTCAGGGTCCTGGGATCGAGCCCCGCATCGGGCTCTCTGCTCAGCGGGGAGCCTGCTTCCTCCTTTCTCCCTGTCTGCCTCTCTGACTACTTGTAATCTCTATCAAATAAATAAATAAAATCTTAAAAAAAAAAGAATAAAAGTCATGTTATTTTATATGGCAGTAGAAAACTCAAGCTTCCTAAAGAATGTCGATTTTTTTTTTTTTTTACATAGTTTTAGAAAGGTATTACCATTTTGCTAATTTGTGCATATTTTTGCTTTAATTTAGCTTATTTAGACTACTGGACCCAGTGCTTGTTTGTTGTTACATAACACTAGCATGCTTCTAATGTATGGCAGATTCTGTTCTTAATTCTTTACATTTATTAACTTTTAATAACAAACCTGTAAGGTAAGTCTTTTATTACCCTCACTGTATATGTGGTGAAACTGAGATACAAAGAATGTAAGTAACTTTTGCCCAAGTGACACACTCAGTAAATAGAGCCAGAGTTCAGACCATATATACATAGATTTGACACCTCTCATCCTTGATGTAAAGGTGTTTTACAATAGCTGTTTTAGAATAGTGTAAAAGTTAGCTTTTTAATACTAGCAGTTTCACTTACGTTTCTTCCAATGTAGGGGTGTCATCTAATGGACCAGGTGAAATGTTGAACAAAGAAGAAATCAAAGTTGAAGGGTTACATGTTAATGGACCAACAGGTGGAAATAAGAGACCACTTCATGCAGATATGGATACTAATGGTTATGAAACAGATAACCGTACCACTGACCCAAAACTTGCCCATATGACTGCAAGAAATGAAAATGATTTTGATGAAAAAAGTGAGAGACCTGCCAAAAGGCGAAGGGTAAACAGCAATGGAAAAGAAAGTCCAGGTTCTTCTGAATTTTTCCAAGAAGCAATGTCACATGGAAAATTTGAAGAACTTGAAAACACAGATGACTAAATTTTAGACTTGTTTTACCTTCTTTGAAGTAAAATCTGGTGTGACTAAAATTTTCAGGGTTGATGGGTTACCTTAAAAAGTTGATTTCCTTGAAGCAGTTGGTTAAAATTTTGAAAATTTGAATTGAGTTCTAACTCTAGTAAATAAGATTTCGTAATTCTGCCCTTTGTAGACTTTTTACTTTAAAAGTGTAAAGACCCTCTTAAGGATATAACAAATAGTATAGTCAATTTGAATGAACTGCGGAAATATCTGTACCTTCTCATTTGATGTATTAATCTTAAAAGCTCACTACAGGTATTTTTTGCTTAGTTTGTTGGCAGAGAAGAAAAAGACCACATTCAAATTTAACACCAGTTTTTCTGTGTTTCTTGAAATGTCTTTATCTTTTATAAGAGAAATTTTTCTCTCCATACAAATTGAGTGTCATTATTAAGGAAACCCTTATGAATCCTGAAAGTTATGCTAGCATGATTTTTTTATATATAGAAGTTTAAAAATAAACCAAGTCAGGTTTGTATATGTAAAATTGTTGACATCAATGATGTCTTTCCATATTCTTATCTGGGCTTAAGAAATACATTCTGTATTTTTCCAGATTCTTTGTAGCCTTTGAAAGATTTTTACAGTACATATGTCTTGACTGAGCTGTCCTTTCTTAATACAAAAGCTTGTATAATTTTCTTAACTTGTACAGTTGGTAAACTTTTATGAGAGGAATTGATATTCTGAGTCTGTCAGCTTTCATTTTATTTTGCTAAGGTTTTTCTAATGAATTTTTAAGTGTTTGTGTAGTAACTAAGTCATGTTTCTTATACAGGTGGTAAAATCGCATTCATAAAGGATTGTGAAAATTTGTTTTTTCAAATTTCTACTTAGGGACAAATAGTTTGAGAATTTTGAAATTAAGCATGATACCTAGATTACATAGTTTGTTTTGCGTTTGCTTTAATTTTCAGAATTATTTTTGAAGCAAGACAAAAGTTTAATGTTGGCTTAAGTGCTTCAATATATCATGCTGACCAGAATCCTGTTCGGTTATTTTTATATGCATTATAAAATTTCCCATTTTTGCATTAACTAAACAGGGGGAAAGGTCAAGCAATATTTAGATGTTGGCACACACAAGGAGTTGGCAGATAATATTGATTTTATGAGGAAAAAGTGATGAAGTGAGTGTATTTCCAAGATGAAAATCAGATGTACCATTGCTCTGTATGATTACAAACAGGATCATCCATTTGCATAGCCTTGCAAGAGTGCCATTTTATTTTTAGTGCAAAATTCTTGTTAAAAATGTAGTTTTATACAGCTGATAGACCAACCTATATCCAGACTTTTATAAAAGATTATTAACTATTCTTGTTTTTTCACACAGGCATACCCCAAATGCTTCTACTGACTCATTTTTAGCCATCAGTTCAAGAGCCAATGCCTTTTAAAAATAAATCTTCTGTGGTCTTATTTTTAATGGCTCAGCTGTTTCATGCAATTGAGTAAAGGTTTGCACTGAGAAGTTACGGTTTAGGCCTTACCCCATGAAGTATTACTATTAACATATGTTCAGACTGCTTCCTTCCACCAATGTGAACAACTCTTTTCCCCAAACAGTGTTAAAATGCCACTTTACAACACTTGACTTCATTTAATGCACATTCACTGTTACATACATATCTAGATAAATCAAAGTTTTGGGTGGAAGTGTTGAGAAGCGTGCATTTTTTGTTGGTTTTGTTTTGTTTTACCTACAAAATTAATTTATCCAGAATGGCAGCTTTAGCAGATGGTCACAATCCATTTTCTAAATCAGTTTTTATTACACAAATCCAAAGTATCCTGGCTCCTAGCTCTTTGTCAGAGATGGTCTATAGAAGTGTTTCAAATGAAGAGTGATGTTGTACTTTTAAGTTGCAATACTAAAGACGCTATCTTCCCCTTTTTTAAAAAGATGCATTTTGTTTGCAGGTTTGTGAAGTTCTTGGAAACTAATACCACAGGAACATTTTTAGTACATTCTCAGGCATGTTTGCAAAATATGGCACATGTATACGTCTTAGGAAGTTTTACTTTTCTTAATCTTATCTTTTTAAAGTATGCCTAATGAAAGACATTCCACTATTAGAATACATAATGCTCAGCTTTTTGTGAAGAAATATTTAATTGTATTTTGTGTTTATACAGGTATTTCACACAGTACTTTGTTCTTCATAATGCAGCCACTATAACTTGATAAGTCATTGCACTACTTTAAAATTTTTAGTAATATCATGAATTTAATTTGCTTGAAGATTTAGTACCTTTCATAACTCTTGAACTCTTAACAAACTGCATTGGGAAAAAAAGCCTTTGTTAATAGTTGGTTTCCCCCACCCCATGCCCATCCTCAGCAAAGCACTATCATTTTCATCTGAAATGGTATTCTGTTTCATAATGTGTTTTCAAATAGAGTTCAGAATCTGCAACTCAGTTCAACACAAGTCTGTTGAGCTTTAAGATGTATTTGAATATTTAAATAGGCATTTAAAATTATGAATTAGATGTTTTTAAGTTTATGCATAGTAATTTTGCACTGTAAAATAATTCCCTTTTCCCATTCCCTGTCTGCCATTCTGAATATGCTTATTAAAATATTTTTTTAAACATACTTGTCTACATAATACCGTGTGAATGATTTTCATTAGATTGATTCACTAGGTTTTAGTTACAGATTTTAAGTTTGTATAATACATACTGTTCACAATGCAGATATGCATAATTTCTGTTCCTTCTCCTAGATATATCCCATGAACTAGTGTTTGAGTGGCTTCTGGTCCCTTTCACTTCATCTTGGGTGATGTATTTTTGTTTCCTCCAGAGAGATCTTTTGGTCTGTGGACCTCTATTCACCCAATTTTCTTTCTCTAAACTATGTAATTACAAATTTTCCCTATCTTTTGTAGTGTAGTTCATATATAATATTTTGTAAAACACTATTGTCACAATACTTACTTTTCTCTAAATGAAAAATTAAGAGTGGGCATTTTCTAAGTGAGGGTTGGTGAATTTCCATAGAGGAGGTGTATGCTGATGATCCTGGAGGCGTGTGACTGACTGACTGGCTCTGTATCACTGCCAAGTGCCAAAACACAAATAAGCTTCCCATACCTAATTCGTAGTCATGAAAATTGACATGGTGGAAAATCATATGTGGGTAAGAACAAGAATTTCTAAATTTTAAGACTTTTATTCTAAAAATGACCTTTTTCTTTCTGTATTAAATAATTCCACTGATTAATTTTTTAAATCATAAAATCAGGCCTTCAAGAATCAAGTTTATCCTTTGTAAAATCTTACAGGGTCATCCCCCCAAGTCATGGGCTGATGGAGTAGCCTCATTTTCTAATATCAGTTTTCCATAACCTCATTTATTAAGTGCCCTTAGTATACCGCTGACATCTTTTGACATCTGTAAGTACATGAGTTTTTCCTTTTCTGACCATGATTTTTTTATCTTCACTTGTTTTCACACTAGTTCCTATGACTTATTTAGGATGTATGATATGCTTAAAATGTCCTTTTGCTTGCTGTTAAGAAATGTGAACACCATCTTAATGGCTACCTATTCTGTGAAGGACACTGAAGAACTGCCACATAAACTGGAGGCTGAACTCCATTCTCTGTGCAAATTGATGGTAAAGGCTTCTTCACACTGAAACGTCAGCAGGGACAAGTCTGCATATATCCTCTTACCAGCCAATATTTGGGCCTATGCTTGTACAGCTACTGTGCTTGGCCTGTGGCTTTAGAGACATGCAGCACATTCTCTTCATCAAAGAGAAGGCGTTAGCAGGTAAGAGCTGTGGGTAGAAGTGTATGCTTAGCACGGAGGGTGCAAAAGGAAAGAAACAGTAGGTACAATATGAAGGAAACCATTTACTAGGCTTTGTGCCATAGAATTTAGCTAAATAAGATCTTCCTTGAGCTTAATATTTTGGTTAGAAATTAAGCAACATGAAATATATGTACAATTTCCCCAAGACCGTTTATTTTTAACATTTACTGCAGGGCTAATTACAACGGCTGTGGATCATTCAGGAGTCATCCTGTTTCTCACTCCCGTCCAGGGAGGGCTACTGTAAGAGTAGGGAGTCTTCTGATTTCCTAAAGCTTGGGAAAAGGGAGAGAACTAACACAAATTTGGCCTGGTTCTAAAACATTCACTTTCTGCTGTTACCATTAGCATGAATGCTTGACTGTAGCATGGGCTAATTGTGTCCTTCTATACACCAGCTAGAACTTAGAGAGTTCAGGGGGTTCTAAAATACATAGTTTTGCTCTTTTCTCTCTGAAAGAAGATGAACTCTGGATTAATTTAAGGACTATACACTTAAACTTTTTTTTTTTTTTTTTTTTTTGAGGGGAGGTGGGGAAGGCCAGAGGGAAAGGAGAGAGAATTGACACCAAATGCGGGGCTTGATCTCAGGATCCTGAGGTCATGAACTGATCCGAAATCCACTTAACTGACTGATCCACCCAGGCGCCCCTACACTTAAATTTTTTAAAGAGAACAGAGGCAATCTGGATCCTGGAGTGGTTTCTCCTAGAACTGTAAGCAATCCAGAGAGTGGCATCAGGCTAACTTGAGCCACCATAAATTCCTGACCAAAAAGAAAATCAAGATCTAGTGAAAGAGCTTGCTCCCAAAGGGACTTTTTAATACTTGACTCCTCCTCTGTCAGTAGTTGTGCTTTAGCTGAGTGCACATAAGGACGTGTTCTGGCTAGAGCCCGTGCCCGGCATTCTGAGCATGGCTATTCCATTAGTCCCTTCTGCACATACAGTTGTGGTTGGTGGAAATTCACCTGGGTGACAGGTTATTCCAAACAGCCTGCGTTATGAGCTTCATGAACTGCTTTGCCATGTGGCCTCTCTACTGTGTCTGTCACGGTTTGCATTTGTCTGTCGGTGTTTGGTAGACAGGGACTTGCACTTAAAAACACAGTATAAACACCTGAACTCTGCCCATCTGTAAAGTAAGGATGAAACTTACTTGGCCAGTATCACAGAGCTGTGTTGAGATTTGAAAATCATATGTAAGAAAGAAAAAAAAAATCACACAAATCTCGCTAGAGAGCCCTACCCTAGGTAAAGATCCAGTAGTAGTAGTAGTACATGTCTACAGTCCCTTACCTAAAGTTCTTGTGGCCAGAATTCTTTAGATTTTAGAGAGGTACTATGTTTTAAAGAACATCCATAGCCAGGTCTAGAACCTATGGTAAAAAACACTTTTGTCCACCATAAAATGTATTCATATTCACACACATTCCAGGTCAGATATTGCTACTAAATGAGTTTGACAATAAACTCAAGAAAAAAACTTAGATTTCAGAATCACACACTTACAGTAGCCTTCAAATTTTGCTAGAGCTCACTTGGCAGCTGAGTCCAATTTCCTCTACTTTGCTAGGTAACTGGCAAGGAGACCTGTAAATAGAAAGCCAGACATAAACCAGCAGGTGTGTTTTGATATGTACGCAGCTCCAGCAGAACCCTGCAGACCCTGGGACTTCTAAAGCACCAACAAGTACCCTGTAAATGAAGCAACTGGTGAGAGGAGCCTGTCAAAGTCCAGATGTGACCTGGAGCCTCCCACACAGTCCCCTCATTTCACAGAAGGGGAACACCTAAGACCCAAAATGGAAAAAGGATTTGTCTGACAACCTCAAACTCGGCTACTTAGGCAAGGTCCAATTCCTCTGTCCTTTTCCTCCACGGTACTTACTACTTTATAATTCTGTATTCATGGCTAGAGACTGAGGCTTGACCCTTGAGCTCAACCCTTGAGCTTGAGCATTGACTCATCAGTCCCTGTGTCCATGGAAGTGAATTACTACCCACCCTTTAGCCAACCCATCATCGTGGCTAGGGAAGTGGCTGTCATAAGGCGGCAGCTCTTTTCGGATTCATTTGGCTTCAGCAGTTGGGGAAGAGGCATTTCCTCAAAAGGAGCATGTGTTGATCATGGAGAAAGGTTCGTTTAGAAGCGAAAACAAGCCTACTGCAAGTACTATCATATGCCATTAATGAATAATTCCTGTTACATTCACTGTGCTAAACACTCATTATAAACCAATCCTCACAACATCACAGATTTTTACAAATGGGGAAACTCAGCTGTCTTGGGAAGTTGAAAGACACACTTTCCAAAGGTCTGCATTTGTTCACCTAGTTTCCTAAGTTTGACCTTTGTGTTCAGGGAAGGTGTGTGCTATTTGCAGATGCTATTTGCAGACAACGTGTTCTGCCCTTTTTTCCCTTCAAGTCTGAATTCTGGAAAGGAGAAAGTCCCCCAAATTGGGAAAAAGCTGGTCAGTAGGTTCTGAAGAATAGATAGAATGTGAGTTCTTTCTCTAGCAAGACCTCAGAGGAATGGTTGCAGGGGCTGTAGGACATGCTGGACTCCAGGCATTGAGACCTTCCAGTAGTAGCAAGCATCACTGTCCCAAAGTTTGGAATCTGCAATGCCACTTGCCTTCAAAGGATACCATGGAGACAGTCAATTAAGTAAGTACTTAAGCAGTGACCATCAAGGACTAAAGAAGATCCCTCTTCTATTTTCCAGGCATTGTGCAATTCCCTTGAATCTGGGTTAACCTTAGGGAAGGATCAGGATTGAATTACCTTCCAGGTGGTAAGATGGGGACTTAATCTAATTTAATTTAAAAGAATTGAGTAATTTGATGTTTCCTCCATACTCAAATATTACACTGCACTGCTTGTTCTAGAAGGTTCTACGGACTCAGAGCAAAAAGTAGGCCAGACAGCAAGGCAAACTTACATTCTGTAAAGAAAATACTTTTTCACAATCACCACTTGTTCAATAATGGAAACTTTCTGTGCCTGTTTCCTTACCTCTAAAATAAGAATAATAAAACTTAACTTTAAAGGACGGTTCAAGGGATTAAAATGTATCAATATATGTAAGGTACTAAGAAAAAATTGCCTAGCTAGCAGGTAGCAAATGCTTAGTAAATTATTTTCACTATGGCATAGCAAGTATTGTTTGCTATACTTCGAATACTACCTTTTTGGAAAACACTGGAAACCCAAGTTAAATACCTTTAAAATGTTCATCTTTAGTCTCCTGGAGTTCAGATAGTCAGTCTCCCTGAGTATCACAGACTTAGGCAAAAGGCAAATTCACCACAGCCTTAATTATAAACAAAAATTAGAAACTGATTTCATTATCACCGGTTAATTCTACCTCCTAAAATAACTCGATGTTTATTCTCTGCTTTCACAACTATACTTTAGGACCCATCATTTCTCACCAATTGTACAGCAATTTTCTGTAGCTGATGTA